AAATAAATAAATTTAAACAAGTAAAAATAATAATTTTAGTAAGAAATCATCTGGACTGTTAGTTTCCATTATTTTTAGATGGAGCACCTATTTGCATCCATCTTTAAGATGGACACTTTACACTTTCTGCACCGCGTAAGTAGAAATTTGGTCCAGCTCACATGAAACAATTTTCCTTTCAATTATATTTCCAATCATTAATTCTCATATTACTTAAGTAGAATACTAAACCATTTTATCATGGAATAGTATGTTATGAGATGATTTATCTTTATTACAAGGGAAAATATCCTATTGTCTTTTATTTTTAACTTCTATATCTCATTAGATCCAAGAATTGAAAATATTACTTGTAAACAAAAGGACTTCATCTTTTTTATCTTTCAAACCCTTAGACTCTTTTGATCATGTATTGGTGACCTCAACAACTTACGAAATGACTCTATCCTCTCTCTTTAAAGCTTTTTCTCTCGAAATTCCATCTCTCTCTAAAACCCAAACACCATCTCTCACTCTCACGTCATCGTTTTTCTCTCTCAAAACTCCATCTCTCTCTAAAACTCAAACTTCATCTCTCTCTCTAAAACTCCATCTCTCTCTAAAACCCAAACTCCATCTCTCTCACACATATAAGGTGTGCTTGTGTTCGAGTTCAAGCTAAACCCTTTGGATGGTAAACTCATCGAGAAGCGAAGTGAGAGAGCTAGAGTTTTATAGAGAGATGGAGTTTGAATGTGGTATCATTTTAGTGTTTGTTTGGGTCAAAAATTTACGGTCAAAGGGGTTCAGGATGTTGTAAGATAGAAAAGATGGAAACATTTTGCTTACAAGTAATATTTTCAATTCTTGAGTCTCATAAGATATAGAAGTTAAAAATATGGGATAAAAAGATATTTTTCCTTATTACAAAGAGGTCACAATTGCTACTAAGTCAAATTTGATGGCTTGGGGCGTCTACAAAGTCTAAGAATTTTTTTATATTTTTTTCAAATCTGAACCTAGTCAATGAGATACTCATAATCACCCGATTTCAAATCTAACGGCCGATAGGGATTGTGACCTTTTGGTGTTAAAAGTAAATTCTATTTCTATGCTTCTACTTTTATTATTGCTAAGTATAAAAGTAAATTCTCTTTCTATGCTTCTACTTTTATCATCGCTAAGTATACTTTCTTTCTTTTCTCAAAAGAGATGGGATCTTTCAAGGGACACGTGATACCAGGGACCCTGTTTCTCGTGGTGGGAATTTGGCACCTGTGGAGCTCAATTGTATCTTATGTCTCAAACCCAAGGGGTTTTAGGGTGAAGGCATGGCACCCAGTTCAGGGGTATGAGGGGAAATTGAAACACTTAGAGCTTTACTTGGTAACAGGGGGAGCCCTGTTGGACCTATGTATAGAGCTATTATACTCCACCCACTTCACTTTTTTCGTGAATGGGGAATTGAACCCCTCTCACCTCAACGATTTTGAGCACTCGGGAATGTTGCTCATGTTCTTCATCTATGGGGTCGTTGGTCTGCTAAGTGAGAAGACAAGGTGAGAGTTTCAAATCTCCATCCATCATTTTATTTATTTGATTTAATTTTTTTTGTATATAATGAGATTATTTATTTTTTATACAAGGTGGTCACAATTACTTACTGTCATTCGATGTGAAATTTGATAGATTTGATGTGTCACAAAGTTTCTAAAAACTTTTTTTTAAAATTTGAACTTGATCAATAAAATAATTACATACACCCAATTTTATATCCAATGCTCAAAAATTAATGTGACCACCTTATATTAAAGATAAAAAGTCTCCTGCCATACTTCCCCTTTAATTAATTGGATTTGTTGGGCGACGAGGAGTTGTCAGCATACTTTTCTTGGGTGGGACTTTCTTAACATTCAAGGCCCTGAGCCCTGGGAAAGTAACTTCACGTTTAAAGTGGTGGTTATTTTTTTGTTTGGGGTGTTGAAAATTTAAAAAATATTGGGATTGTGAATCACCCAAGACAAGTCCCCTATTTGAAGGGGAAAATAGGAGACAATAAATCACTTTTTAAGGAGGCTGTAAATCTCTTGGATACGGTGCCCACCTTATACTACACAAGCAAGGCGCACCTCTTGCTTGTAGTTTTGGTGTACGAAATCTTACAATGGCTTGAAAGTCCATGTTGAATCCTAATGAAACTTAAATTTCTACAAATGGCGGAGCTTGAAAGATTTATAATCGTTTAAACTTGAAAATAGATAGTCTAGATAATTTGTTACAAGATTAATTATTTTTAATATTTGAAATTAATATTTTATTTTTATCCATACATCACAAGGTCGAGATGATCAATTAGAAAATTTTCAGAATTCATCACTTCTCTTTTTTAAGGGAAAATTTCTTATAGAACCTTAATTTCTCATATTATATCATGATAGACCCTCCTTCCGTTTTTCAAATTATATCACGACATAAGGAAATTTCTAAAGATTTCATTTTACCCTTTCATCTCTTATCTCCCTCTTTTATTGACTTTTGATCATAAAAATTAATCCTAAAAAATCTGTTTATACCATTTCAACTCAAAAACTTTTTTAATAGGTAGAAAGGAAAAAAAAGGGTTAAAAAAGTATTTGGGTTGAAATGGTATAATAAAATTTGTTGGGGCTAATTTTTATAGTCAAATGTCAATAAAAGAAGGATATAAGAGATGAAGGAATGCGGTGAAATCTTTAGGGGTTTTCTTATGCTACTTAAAAGAAAAATTAAAAAAAGGTCTACCATGAAATAATACAAAAAATTAGGGTTATATGTAAAAAAAAAAAAAAATTAATTGGATTTTTTAGATTCACCTTACTTTTACACTAAAAGGTTTGTCCGCTACACAACTTGGCAGGTTGACCTGGATTGGGTCCGGACTACCACCATGGTTTACCTAGTCCGGGATTGGGTCCGATCTATCACCCTAGTTTACCACCCTACTTTTGAAAGGCGAAATTTTTAATGTGGAGAACTATTCCGTCGAAAGTCGTCGAGCAGTAAGGTGCACCTAAAAAATCTATCGTAAAAAACCCTCTAATCAATCATCTCGACATTGAGATGTATGAATATGAAAAAGAAAAAAAAAGATCTCGAATCTCAAAAGTAATGCATCTTGCAACACATTATCTGGACTGTCTATTTTCAATATTTTCATATGTTTATAGATCTACTCGATTTGAATGTTTTAGAATCTAAAATTTTGTAATTAGAGATGTAAATGGATTATTAGACCATCCTAAGAATTTTTTACACCAAAATTATATTTTATAACAAAATTTGGTGGTGCATCCTTTTAAGGTTGCAACCTCATGCAAACCACGCCCTTTTCTATTTTTAGATATTCAACTGTAGATTGTAATGGGAAGTTTCTCACCCATCCTAATGGTGGGATTGCATGCACATTTAACGGTAAAAACGCAAACCTATTTGCCTAATACTCAGAGGTTAGGGGGTGACTACTCACTGGGACCTCCAATTTGTCCTAATACTCAAGAGGTGTGTGTTTCTGTTGTGTGTTTGTGTGTGAGAGAGAGATAGAGAGAGGGCCCATTACTAACAATCTCGTGGTTTTCAGGTTCCTACCTCTTCCAGAGGGAGGCCTGTGCACAGTAGTGGCCGCAGCATTTTGTGCCGAATACCTCCTCTTCTCCTTCCACTCAACCGCACACACTGGCCTTGAGGGCTATTACCACCTCCTCCTCGTATTCCTTATCGCACTTTGTATCCTATCCATCCTTTTAGGATCCATCTTCCCCACCAGTTTCCCTGCTGACCTTGCTAGTGGCCTTGCCATAACTTTACAAGGCCTTTGGTTTTATCAAACTGCTTTCTCTCTCTATGGTCCCATGATGCCTGAGGGATGTCACCTCAAGAATAACGCCATCTCATGTCGAAACAGAGAACAGGAGGCCTATGGCGAGTCATTGGCCAACCTCCAATTCTTTGGTTTGGTGTTCTTGACACTTTTGGGAGCTTTGGGCGCGTATGGGTTCGCGTTTTTGCAGTATGGACGCTGGGAAGAGCTAAGGGGCTTGAATGAAGAAGAGGACGTGGTGGTTGATGATGGATTGTTAAACAGGCAATAGGAATCATCACAATGTGTGGTTCTTCACTTCATTCTCTCTCTAGTTTCTGATATCCCACTAAATTTTATCTTTTTAGAGCTCCCAAATTTTAATTTGATGGGTGTTATTTACACCTATGATGGTCCTTTTACATAAGCAGGATGGTGCATTTGATAGCTCCATCACTGGAATGTGAAATTTTTTATACAAATTCTAGAGCTATGTGGAAGGACAATGACCTAACACAAAATTTAGGACTTGATTTTGTTTTATTTTCTTCGTCTCCATGAGCTTAGGAACATAAGCCATCTGATTTCTTTGGGGATGAACTGTAATTAGCCGATGATTGTGTAATTGAATGGTGACATTCTTCTTTTTTTATGTCTTTTTATTGGGTCCCTAAGGAATTTCATACTGCCAAAGTGCCAATAGTTGTGTAATTGAACAGTGGGATTCTTTTTCATTATTTGGCCCCTCATGGGAATTTCATACTGCGTTTGACACCCACAATTTGGTATGCGAACTTGAGCCTATAATTGATTATGATTTAGTTCCACCGATCGCTGTAGCAAGTGGGCGTTATATATGGGGATAAAATACGGCTTTTCAGCTATGGCCCCATTCCATATTCAAGATGCTTTACACAATTCATTTAATATTGAAGTATTCATTTCAGACACTAAAAAAAAAAGGGCAAGAAATACCACAAAATTACTCAAGAACTATCTGTTATCGCATCAAACACCTCTCTCACTCTCTCTCAGAAAGAAAAACCACAAAATAACTGAAAAATTCTATTATCACATCACCCCCTGTCCCTCCTCTGTCTCTCTCAAAGGTGATCAAGGTAGTCATTCTTCTAAAATTAGAGAAATACAAAGTCATCACGGCATATGTTGCATATACTCATGCTCATGAAGATATCCCCTTTGCATGAGAGAGATACCAACTATTACAAGGAAGTGCCATTTCGGATTGTTAGCAAGAATCCATGAACGTATGCAGGTATGCATGCAACGAAAGTCTCCATATATATTTTCTCCAGATGCTCATGGACATATGACTGGTGTGTTGCTACGCATGTTATAGCTCCACAATATTTAATTAACAATAACTTTCCCTCTTATTATTTTTATACATTCTACGAATAGCATTGTTTGATATGTAATGGAAAACAGTTTTAAGATACACTAAGGACAATTAGCAGAAGCACAGACCTGATTTCAATGCTGAATTCTATGAAGGCCCAACTTTTATTACCCTAATATGAAATTATAATGGAATCAATCAGCTCATGTAGTGGAGCAAGTTCCTTCTTATCAATCAAACCAAATTCCTGCAAAACAATCAAGGTAAAAAGTCACCTATTGAGCCGAAACAGATCCTCCCTAATTTGAGCAGATTCATGAACCTCCCTAACTTCTGAAAATTTTCCAAAAACCACACCACACATATCCCTTTTAACAAAGCCCACATCGAAGTGTCTAACCATATGACATCCAAAAGGAGGTCTTTTGGGATTAGGGATGGCAATTGGGTGCGATTGACCCGTCGGGTCCCAATATGGGTCCAATACTAAGTTTTAGACCCAAAGGGTTGGGTTGGGTCGGGTCCAGGTTCAAAACTCTGGACCCAAATCGGATATGAGTTTGGGTCCAGTCGACCTGACCCCAAACCTAAACACATGTACACACACACATTGCATATATATATTTATACATACATGTACATATACATATGGGTTATGTTAGGGTACTCATACATATGAGTATTTCCTTACCGTTTCAAAAAACAGAAAACAAAAAATATGATTATTTCCTTATAGTCTCAATATTTTTGGACACTCATTGCCCTTTGTTTCGTAATATAAATTTTTTTGAATTAGCATATTTTTCGTGATTAGGAGGGGTAAGATAGATATTTTTATAAAAAACTAGTGGTTAAGAAGCAATCATTGCTACATGTGGGTGATGTCACGCCTCATATGAGTGATATCACACCTCATATATATGATACACTATAGTTAATAAATACATCTATTTCTATCAAGAATTTCTAGTTTACCCCTTGATTAATTATCTAAAATACTCCTAGACAGAAAAGTGATTACATGATGGGTTAAGGGTAGCAAGTGTTCAAAAATGTTAAATACCTTAAAGAAATACTCATATATATTGTGTGTGTGTGTGTGCGAGTGTGTGTAAAATATTTTTTAAAATATATAATATTTTTTAAAATATATAATATTTTGATAAATTTGCCTATATATGTATGATGTTTATATTTTTTTCAAAATGTTTTTGTTAGGTTCTAGACCCGGACCTGACTTGAACCCATACCAGCATGCGTTTGGGTCCGAAACCCTGGACCCGAGTTGGGTCTATGTCCAGTTGACCCAAACCCGACACTACCCATTGCCACCCCTACTTGGGATTTTCACTTCACTGAAGGAGGGCATCTAGAAAATTTTGATGCTTAGGGAAGTTTTCATATTTTAATTAGTAAGACTTTGAAATCTTGCACGTGCGCCAATGCCAAAAAGGATGGAAAAGCTCTCTCTCATTTCCACACAGATGTTTAGTGCTGTTCTCTCTCTCTCTCTCTCTCTTTCTCTCTCATTTCCACACAAATTTAGTGCAGTTATAGAGCTCTCTCTCTCGCACCCCCCTATTTCCCCACATGTTGAGTGGGGTTATAGAGACACGTAACGGCATGCTCTAGAACTACACCTGCAAGCGATAACATGGTAACAAAACTTACATATGTAAACAGAATGAAATGCTTGAAGCAAGTATTGAGATGGGCTTCTTCCTTTAGGCTCACAATCTTCTGAAAGTGAGAGTGATATATGTGTGCATACACACGAAACAGGCGTTTGAATATTGTCTTCACGACCTCTCTGAAGTTGGGGGGAAAAGGTGTTCCTACAGAAGAAATTAAACATTACCACTAAGACGAGATTTAGAATTAAACATTCTAGCAAAGTGAACTAATTACCACATTTACTATACAAACATGCATTCGTATGCACATACAAGTACATATAAGGATAACTTAATACACAAAAACTCAAATACATGAGGTTCTCTTGAGACCTTAGTTTAGAGGTCCAAAACAGTTTATATCAAGTTGACTTGATCAATGTAGCTCCATTTGGTTTGAAAATGCCATTGGAAATTATTGGGAAATGTAGATCCCAGACAAATTCACTGTGAAGACTTGATGTGACACCTAATTTCCCACGCACAATACACAATGATTATGGCATGAAATTGCAGCATATAACTACAGCAAAAGGCTGACGATTCCTACATCTCTCTTTGTTTTTGACACCTCTTCCTCTGAATAATGGCTTAAAAAGATGAACACGTAAAATGATTTCTTTCTGAAAACCAAATGCAAAACCCGCATGAACTCATACCACTACAATTACCTCACTTGAAAGCCCACTATCAAATTAACCGAAGTATGTGAAGTTTAACACTAACTCTACAACCAAACAATTTTGGCCCAATCAAAGAAATAATAATTGGGTTGGACCCCACTCAACTCTAAAATCACAATTAAAGTTGAGAATACACTAAGCATCAGGTTAGGACCTATAGTCCCCTTGTAGGTTTACTAAATGCTGCAAAAGGAATTATATGCTTATCTACTTTGGCTAGCTGCAGTAATTTAGATGAAATGAAGTAGGCACACTTTCTGTGGATCTTGTACAGATAAGGAAATAAGGGTATATGGAGAAGGAATGGAGTTTATTATTTTTTTTGATAAATGAATGGAGTATTGCAATAGGTTATCACTACTCATGATGTTGATGAGCCTCATAGCATTTAGGAACATGGTTTTGAGGTCTGTAATCAAGGCACAGTCATCCGGGCAGAATAGTAAACCTACCTCTTTCCATGTGAGAACCTATTACTTCACTCCTTTTGAGTTTCCTAAAAACCAAGGCTTCCTAATTACTAAATGAAGAAGAAATACCATTTATCTGGCTATACCAGGTCGAAAATATGGTCCTTAGGTAAGACAGTGTGATGCCCAAGATTCACACGAGTAAATTACATGAGAATAACACATGAAAATTATGCCATAAACTAGCAGCACAAAATTCTTGGGGGAAAAATAATTCCTAAATTTCACTTGTTGCGTTGTTTTATGCACTGCTCTCTGATGGGGTTAGAATTAATTAAAACGTAAAATGGTTTTTTGTAATACCAAATCTAGTAACCTGTGTAACCTTCTCTAATGACATTCATTTCGTTCCATAGATCACAATGTAGTAACCTCACAACCTAAATAATATAAGTCAATGGGAAAACATATGGTGTATGCTAGGAAGTATACTGTTACTACGATCACTAGTGAGCAGACAACATCCAACAGGATATTGTGTATGGTCAAGCTCACCAGTAATGACTGCCTATATCCTCCCTGGTCAAATCTCCACAATCCAATGCTTACTGGACAGTTGATACTCATTAGTAGGCATGCTAAAATACACTCCCTAGTGTGCATAGCATACACTACCTAAGATTATACATGACGTTGTGATGCATAAATACTATATCTCAACAAAACCTTTTGGGATCAGATATATTCTCATAAAACTACGGCAAGGGGGTGTCCAGGTGAAATTATATGATTGCTAAATAATCAATCACAACAAAATGTTGGAAGCCACCCAATAAACCAAATACCTAAATGCTTAACTTGAGTTTTTAAGTAATGGATGTGCATCAACTGTAAATCATACACTGTAGTGAAATTGTTTTGAAGTTAACACCCTTTGTCTCTTAGATTCCAGGTTAAAATATAAATCAATAAAGCCCATGCACATTATGCTTAGCATTTTTGACTGATAGAGTTAGTCAAAAGAACCTAATTATGCAAGAATTTAAAATGACAATTGCATTTTTGTTTAAACATAATATTTCAAGCACTTTTGATTTAGTGATGAATTTTATTTATCTGTAATATAATTCTTTCAAATATTATTTATTGAATTACGAAGAAATTTTAGGTATTTATTTATAAATAGGAAACATATTGCCACTCTATGTTTCTTGAGGATACCTCCAATTTCTATTTTTCTTTTCTAGAGGATTCAGAATTTGAAATGGCTTGTGCTTCTCATAATAATGTTCTTTTAATAAATCAGCAGAAAGTATGCTTTGAATATGCTTGAGATTTTAGAACTGATAAAGATATATTTACAGAAATAGATATCAATCTGCTTCTGTTTTCTTCATTTTACCTATTGATTGTACTGGGTTAGACATGCTATCAGATATTGAGAGGTTTGTTTAAAGAGTATCTACTTCTAATTATGCATTATTTTTCATGCACTGTAATTGCGATCTGCTTTAGTTAAAAGAACTTGGCCAAAGTTTTTTAAAATGATCGAAACATTATTACACCTATATTAACGAATGAGATAATTAATGCTAACCACCTTAACTTCATGCCAGGGATTTTGTTTTACTGAAAACTGCTTTCACATTTTATTTTTTATTTTTCTACATTTTTGTGCAACCGACATGCCATAGGTGCACACACTCAGAATTGGGAGAGGACAGGAGAGAGGGGGAGAGAGAGAGAGAGAGAGAGAGGTCTTGCAACATCCACTCAAGAGTTACCTAGCTTTTGAGGAAATATGGATTCATCGTCAAGCTGAACTTCAATCCAGTCCATAAGATACTCCACATATTTTGGCGCAGAAACTTCAATGGGTTTCTTTATTTGCACACCATCGGCCCATCTATACTCATATCTACAGAATTTCATCCCAACATAATTAGATAGTATGCATCCATCTGAATAGCCAGAGAGACTAGTAAGACCATAAAATGTAAATTAATAATAATAGAATTTCTAATATTATTATACAAACACAGTAAAGTTCTTAAGTTATTCACCAAAAAAAAAAGTTCTTAGTTGGTTCCTTCATTGCTATGAAGAAAATATTTGTACCATTGAACTCTCCAAACCAATGATTAAAAGAAACACCATGGGGAATTGCCAATCTGGATCGGAATCATTCAGGGACTGCCCTGATTCCTGGTCAGAATTGACGATTTGACCCTGTATATGTAATAAACCCTCACGATTGAATTTTTCCGATTTCTACCCCATTCCTCAATGGTTTTTGGAAAAAATTGAGGGGATTCATTTGTTTTTTATTCTTCCCTTAGATTTGTATAGAAGATTTGTGGAAAAACTCCAAATTGACGAAATCAAAGGTTTCAATTTCAACTATTTATTTCCATGCATAACCTGCCATTTTTCTAATTTCTCTCTTGATTTGCAATCATTTTTTGTATGTTAAATCATTTTTTTTTTTGTTCAACCCTTTATCATATCCGTATGAAGGATTTTTGGATTTGGAGTCCAACTCGAAGAAATCAAAGGTATAAATCTTGTGGTTTTTTCCCCTTTATGGGGTCGATTTTTAATTCGATTTAAATCAATTTCTTTCATGTGAAATGACTTAGATCATTAGAGAAACATATGAGAGATGGATCTATGCAATTTTTATCTTCTTTCCTTCATTTTTTTATTCTGCCGGATCGCCGACTCGTCCAATCCAGGTTGCTGATCTGGCCCAATCCAGTTGGGAAAAGTCGGAGAGCAACCCACCCCACTGATCCATGTTTTAAAACATTGCTCCACACAAACAGAGTGTGACTCCATCATTGGCTGATGAGTGAAGGTGGGTGTGTGTGTGCGGGTGCGTGTGTGTTATTTTAGAAATAATACAAGTTTCAATCGAAGATATGTTTCCAATTGAAGATACCATACATTTTTCTAAGCTTTGAGAGGACTCTCAGATATGACCCATATAAGGAAGTGGCTTTATAAAATGTGTCATGTTTTGCTTCACATTTCAAGTGATGGGATTGTGATCATAAATATATTTGTTTTCTTGGCTAATTCATAGATTTAATCATAATAAGTAGCAATGAAGTAAAACATACTTGGGCCCTGCAGTCATTGTAGGGCAGTTCTCTGGCGTGCAGAATTCAGTGAGGGTGCCATAGAGCAGATTCACCTGGTTGAAGAAGTCCACCGCTGAAAACCCCAAAGCTAATGAGTCGGCTTGAGACACTTCATTAATATCAGATAGAAAACCAGTGGCACGATATAAGAGAATTTATACTCTTACCGTTAGTAACATCAAGGACTGATATTTCAGACTTCAGGATGGGTTTCTACCAAGGACCAAATTGTATTTTCGATATTGGACCAAAATTTTGACTAAAACTTAGGTCTTAAGAAAACAATATTTCAAAAGAGAAAATGAATAAAATACAAGATAGAATCTCTTGTTGAGAATACAATCTTCAGGAACATGTTACCCAAAATCCAGTACATCTTAAGAAAGAAATACCGAAAGAAAGAAGATCTGAAATTCCCAAGTTGGATAATGGGTACCAGTGCAAAGTTGTGCCAACCAGCTTGAAAAGTGTATATTTCTGAAATGACAAAGAAAATGCATTTCTGATATGCATAAGATTTTGCCTTAATTCATACATATCTTGGGTAGTCTCTTTTGAAAACTATGGGAAGCGTGTTATTTGGGCCAATGGACTCCTTTTGGTCTCTACCCTTGCCCAAGAATGAAGCTCTTCTTAACTTCGAGGAAAATATTGAATAATTTTTCACGAGCTAAAAACTTTGAAAGCCCAAGACTTAACCTAGTGTAGGTGTAGAAGTGTAGCAATCCTAACAAAGAGAAATAGCTAAAGGCACTCAGATTTTGAATCCTCAGAATACCGAAACCAACAAGAAAGTAACAAAACAGCATAATGCATGTACGAATGGATATGATTGAGGCCAATAATATACAAAGATATCAATCTTGGTTCAGTTGTATGGACAACAAAATTGGATTCCACTTGGAGGTCTTAAAGGAGAAGAATTGTAATATTCTTCTTTCTCGAAAAGACTAAAAGATTTTACTATTTTTATAAGAGAAAAAAGATAAAGAATTATACTATTGACAGCCAGCCACTCATTCAGATCCTCTCCTGGGGGAAGCCGTACTGCTTCCCGCAGGTTCCCACTGCCCAAAGTTGCATCAATATGCCTCCGAAGCTGTGCACCCTGTGTATATAACCAAGAAACTCATGCTATGAGCCAGCCTGACCAAAGATATAAGCAAGTCAAAATATGCACTCTGCTATGAATTGAGGAATTTATTATTATCCAATAGTCCACAGATAATCATAGTCCTCAGGATCAGCATCATCCCAATAAATAGATGGTGATTAAGAGGGAGAGGAGGAGAAGAGGGAAAGAGTGGGGGGGTGCGGAACCAGACCAGGACATGTCCACAATAGTGAGTCCCACTTAATCAAATGCCAACCATGAACCCATTGGACTATTGTTTCCAAAGTCTCTTGGATATTTGTATATTTTCCCTTATAAATTAGAAGTAGAAAGTAAAGATACTAATTGCAATAAAAACAAAAGTATAATGGAAAATTACATAACTATTACTAAAGATATATAGTTCAAGGATCACCATCCTTTGTAGTAGATGGCATTACATTAACATCAAGTCACGAGAAGATTATTGACAAAGTTAGTTTGTGACAAAAGTCAGCCAAGTAAACCATGATCCACACAGCATTCCATATTGCTTAGACACTATACTTTGTACCACAGATTTCATGTATTTGTTTGACTGTTACTATTACTTGCTCATTGGCAAGACAAATTGCTACTAAGATAGGAAGACACTTTACACAGAATTTTATTTATTTTATTTTTTTGGTGAGTCAGTGGGGAGAGGGCCCCTACCCTTGGTACGAACCGAGCCTAGGACGCAGCGTTGCAAATCGTCAAGCGCTAACCAATTGCAAAGCACAATGTACTCTTAACAGGATTATGTAAAGAACTTGGATATGAACCTTTCCAAATCGAATGCATTACAAATCATAGTGACTATACGAGACCAGAAGGTACCTTGCACCAGAATTTTTTTTTTTTTTTTCCTATTGCAAAGTTTACCAAGGGAACTTGATTTGACAGACCAATTCTCTACCTTGATGTGGATTCCATTTATGAAGGCAACAGCATAATATCCTCAATGATCAAGGAGCACTTCATGGATAGCTACAGTCCATGATATGATAACCACAGAGAATACCACACATTTGCACAAAAAAGTAAAGCACAGTAATTAGGACATATAAAGGGTTGAGACAACATAATTCAACATATCAACATCTGTTTTAGGATTGAAAAAGCTGCAGGAAGAAAAACTTTTAGAAGATACTGGTTCAGAGCAATTCCTCCCAAGTGACACGACTGCAATAATAATATGTAAGTTTCCTTTTTCCCTAAACCTTCTGAGGAAAGCTTATGTAACAAAATGATACATAAATTCAAAGAGGATAATCAACTAGCTTTACTTAAGATCTCATGCTGCACAAGGAACCGGCTAGAAACTGAATATCTTTAAAGAATAGAAGGCATTGCTACCTTATTACAAGCATTGGGCACCACAAGACCATTTAGATTTTAATAGGAAATGCAAACAGATAGCTAGTTAGAAGAGAATGTAACCTTACTACCCGATGGTGCACTCTTTTTGGGGCGGAACGTCTTCTGATTCCTGCAAGCAGTAAAAACTACTAAAAATCCATGTTTACTTAAATAAAATTAAATGAAGGAGAATGCTTGTTTACATAAACAAATGCAAAAAAGACAAAGATAAATCCACTTAATTAGTTATTCCCAGTGCATAAAGCAGGTAACACACACAAGCACACACATACACGCGTACAAATACACACACAATTCCACCCCCATAAATCACTGAGATTTGACTATAACAAACATGCACGGGTACAAAATCCCCATGGGCTGCAAGCCAGGAGTAGGTGTGGGTAAAATTTTGGGAACATGAAAGCACAATAAACAAATACCAGTCATTTTAACAATTTAGTAATCCAAAATGAAAATCAAGAACAATTGAAATGAGCAGAGTGTTCTCTTTCTCATGGGTATACCACGGTTTCAAGGTTGAATCCATGTAAAAGACAAGGTTAACAAGAATCATCAAGACAACAGTATTGTTATAAGTGAGTGTTCAAGAACTGTTCAAATGACTCTAAAATCGCCATAGAATATATAAGCTAATAAAATCAGAGAATAAAATCAGTATTAAGGGAATGGCAACAGAAATTCCATCTTAACACTGGCTAGAACACTGTAAAATATCACCTATATCAATGTTTTGAACTGGTTCAAATAGGATTTTTTCCCTAAATACAATTGGAAGGTTTTCACGTTCCAGCGAATCAAAGATTATGAAGAGAAAATTAAAAAGGAAACGTATAGTGTTATCACATGGATAGCAGAGGAAGGTAATTCTCATTCTTATTATGCAGTGAAGGCTTCAGCCGTATTCTTTATCCAAGTAACCACCGCTCTTCCAATGTTTTACAAAGCTATCTCCTTATGTGTAACTTGTAGGCAGCAACCTGACTATTTCTTCTCTTTATGATATCAAAGCCATGTTAACATAGATTCTACACATCAAGCTATGCCAGATCATAAAGCCATTGAGTGCCTCTTCATTTATGAAAAAATGCTGATTGCCGTGGCTAACTGCACACTGATCCAACTACTCATTGAGTGTCAATTCCTATTTTGTGAGCTTCGATAAGATGTACTTTCTGTGGTTCTTGATTATTCCTACATCCCCTAGGAAGAAGTTACTACTTCAGCAGAGCATTCTATCTCGCATTTGCCCACAGCAATGACTTTTAAAGTGGAGCAAGTTAGTGATACACCAAAAGTCAAGTCCCTTCCGCCAATTTTTGTTAGACCAACAAGCTCCAAGAGATCAGTTGGACCAATCCAATGGATAATGGTCGCAAATAGATAGATACTTTCGTGATAGATAATTATTTGTTAGATACTTGCATGATAGATGGTTATTTGTCAGGTCATTGGAAACTTTTTTTTCCTTCTAATTCAAATAACTTGTGAACTAGAATTGCTATGCCAGAAGAATAAAGGATTATAGTTTGATTATTGATTATGATATCAACAGCCAAATTTTGGGAAATTTGAAATGCCATCCAAAGTTCAGAATTATTGGCAAAGGTTCCAGCGCAAATTCCAACAAAGGGGATCACTTGCAATGTGTATCTGTGGATGTTGGTGAGCCCTCCTCTCTCTCACTCTCTCTCTC